TGCCACTGGTGGGAAAGTTACTGAAAAGGCTAAGGATGAGGGTGGCAATGTTCGGGCCCCCGGCTTTTAGGATGATAGAAGGGATTTTGCCAGTGTCTGAGAACTTGGGGTCTTCAGATTGGACCAGTGAGGAAAATGAAGCAGGTTAAGTGACCAAGAGTTTGCAGAGAGTGAGGTTTGTATCATCAACAGATGTGGACAATACGCAACCAGGTAGGAAGCAGTGAGTAAAAAGAGTCGAAGCGGAGGGAACATGGTGGTCAGGGGAATGGGGGTTAGGGATTGTACGATATGAACGGCATAAGCAACAGGCTTCACGCTAGCGGCCACGATACTTGAAATTGCGGAGGAATTAGAGACTTAGCGCCTGTGAGTTGCACCATAGCATTTTAGATTGAAAAATTGTACACGGTAGTCGATTTCTTGCACTGTACAAGAGCTAGTTTCCCAATGATAATCTCAGTCGCAAATCTATCACTAAGACTAAGAAAAGGGTGGTCGTGAGACTTCCAGAAGAACACACCATAATTCATCAGGCTGGACGGCAATCAGAAATGTCTGAAGCTCGTGTAGGAGCAACTAGACATACTACTGACAGGGCACTGCCTTAAAAAGTGCTGGCACATTTTGGATGTCACGAGACAGTAGGTACTCATCCCATGTTTTATGGTGCGAAGAGATTGTAAAGGCTTCAAATGCATAGGAAAGGATGAGGGGCTGACGGAGGAAGAGAAGAAGAAGGGTGAGTATTCGCCTAGCTGCAAGTAACAAGACAATGTTAAATACCAGGGACTTTCTGGCCTAATGCTGCGTTGGGACACAGATAACCCCTGGCAACGGTAATATTCGTGGTGCAAGGACCGTGTGTGGGATGCCTTGGTAGCTGAGACCAGCCTTCTACAGCAAGTCAGGCAAGCAGAGGCGAAAACTCATGGAGCATTTTGTTGAAACCAGGAGAGCTCAGGAAGTTTGGGATCACCAATAATTAATTTGTTATGGTAGAGTAGCGCTTGGGTGTGAAAAATAAGTGTGGATAGTTGGTCAATCGAGGTAGTCGATTTTGGAGAAGCCACAGCTGAGACAGCCTGAATGTGATGTAGTTTAGTTAAGTGCGCCCTTGTTGATTAAAAAGACATGAATATCATTAGCGGGACCATGGGAGGTGGGTAGGGTGCTTTGCGTCAATTAACTAACCCCAGGAATGTCAGCATGAAACGGAATAGGGATAAGAGTATCAGTTCCCTAACTAATAGTCGACATGGGACCTGGTAAGAATGAGGTCCTGAGACGTGCCGTGATGTATACGGAGACATCGTATGGGTAGCGGTGCAGCTAGCTGGGCTAAGTAGACAGAGTTGCAGGCTAATAAGATACAGCATCTGGTACATGGACGGTCGATTTTGCTAATGTGTAGATCAGAGATGACTTAGGTAAACGCTCAAGATCAGAAGTGAAAAGCTCAGACCATGAGCAGGAGTTGCAGAGCTTGGAGGTGATAGGCGACTTGTGCGGTGCAATGGCCAAAATATACTGAATTCCCGGTACTACTGTATATTTGGAGGTGTTTTGAAACCCGACTGTCCTGGAACACCTCCCGTGTTGCCGGTCTAACATGAATAGTTGCGAGCAAATAAGAAGCCGGGTCGGTTGACGGACAGCATGCTGTTATGGGAGGTGGGGGTTCCCCGGCTGTTTCGCGCGCAGGCATCATCAGCAATCCAACTGCCGTAGTTGCCGGTGATCGCATGTAAAGTCTGCGACTGAGTGACTACCGCAGACAGAGACAGGAAAAGGGTCCATCTAGAAGCTTTCAGTTTCAAGTTAAGAGATCAAGATGGTGAAATTTCAGAAAGCTTCATCTGCAGTCATATGCGAGCAGCTTTGGAGTTTTTGGGTTTAGGAGAGGGTGGCCTAGATAAAAGACATCGTTTTTGTCTCTGAATCGTATTATTGTCGGGTGATGCATGGACAGTTTCATCTTTCTGATAAGTCAGAATGTGTAAACGACGTCAAGCGTGGTGCATGCTGCAAACTTCGTGTTTTTCGTTTGCTCCAGTGGGATGAGATCGATGACATTTTATGCAAAGTCCTGTTGACGGCACCTGCAAGGCTAACAAATCCCAGAGGGACGCGTGTCAATGAGGATCGACGCTTTTTTATCATTTGTCACATTGCATCATCGTCAGCGATGACATTTTATGCAAAGTCCTGTTGACAGCACCTGAAAGGCTAACAAATCCCAGAGGCATGCATGTCAATGAGGATCGACGCTTTTTTAACAATTGTCACATTACATCATCGTCATCAGGGCCCGAGATTAGCCAGGCATTCGTAAATCCAAGATTTTTCAGTGAAAGGGAGGAGGATGTCAAATTGGCCAGGAAGAGAGATATCGGTTATTATTAATAAACAGTCTGATATGACTTGGAGCGCCCTACTGGACGATTTCAAAGGGTGTCGGGACTGAACGCTGGGATTTAATGCTGCAAAGTGCTCTTTTCGACAGAATGAAAGGTTATCCTGATTATCCTAGACAGATAAAGTGTTGGTACAAGAAGATGGGACTTCTGCGTAATAACCTTGAACAGAATAATTCTTGACAGTTCATCCCAGTAGGAAGCTTCTCGAAAAACAGAACAGAGGATGCGTTGCCTAGAGGACGACAACAGTACGCTGTGTCTGTGGATTGCTGACAACCTGCCTGCTTAAAGGCCTTATGACCATGGTTTGTCAACGGTTTTTTAATTGTACATGCGAACGAACATGTTGTGTATCATCAAAAGCGCTAAAAAACTGCTCAAGATTCGAATGTTAAAGCACATAGTTGCATCTCCTAGCATCCAGCCAGCGTAGCTTTGGGGGAAAACGCACGCACGCTGCATTTTCTAGGCGAACGAGCCTACCATTTGAAGTGGATAATTAACAGGAAGTTTTTTCGTGAAATTCGTGAGCTCGCCGGCGATTGCTCTCTTACGGTTGGGCAATTTAAGAGCGAATCTGTCACCAGACAAACAGATGCTTCCTTATATTTTCGGACTCATTGCAGGTGGCGTGTTTCTATTTCTATTAAGGGGTAACTTTAGAGGAAAAAGCCTCTGTTATACATGCATTTCCACCGTAAAATAACCACCAAGTGCCAAAACTGTTGATAATGTTGCGAAGTTGTTTGGTCTCAGATGCACCCACCCAGGCCGGGCTAAATATCATCGGCACCCTGCCTCATCAGCCAGTAACCGATCGGTGCGTGCTATGTAAGCGCTTGCTGACTACTCGGTCAATAAGGAGGAAGGATCTTCTGCCGGATTCGTTTAATAACAAACACCAACTAAGCAATTGCATAATACCAGACAGAGAATTAAACATCTCATGTGCACACTTTTCAAAAACTGATCATCATCACGCGTCTTACTGAGCTTTCGAGGGTATCCACTGACCATCACGCAATCGTAAACGAATACGGCAACTCAGTTTTACAGGTTCTCCAATAAACCCCACCTTTCATTAAACGCGAGGCGGATTCACGAGAAGACCACATACCACTAGCATGTCTCATTAGTAATATCGCCCGTCACACATTTATTGGTCCGGTTCTGCAACCTTTCGAGTTCGCACCACTTAGGGCATGACCTAATCGTGGTAAAATTAACATGGTAGTCAACAACATGATGTGGGAGGAAGCAAAACTAGGGAGCATGCTTTTTACGTACCAAAATGTATGTTTTGTTAAGTGGAAAATCCGTATCAATTGCGTCTGATATGCACGGCGATTATATCAGTGTATTCGAAAAAAATGTGGAAGCCATTGCTGACGCTGGGCGGTCTCTGGCAATTTCGCTTCAGCCGAGATCAGTAAAACTGCTAATGTGGCTGATTGTGGGATAGAGTAGTTGCGGCTGTTCGCGTCCCAGAGTTATAGTGCACAATGAAACTAGACAGACCTGCCGTTACTGCAGTCGGAAGAAAGTATAGAGTGGGCGTTCCTTGAGTAGGTGCGTCATTGATAATGTATGAATACACGAGCATCGAGTAGCAAACCACTGGGCTTGTGAACAGGATACGCTGAAAGGGCAGCAGAACCAGTCTGGATATTTGAGAAGGCTCAGAGTGTCAGTAAAGACTCACGCTTGCACCTGGTTTCGGGACTTAAGAGAGAAATTGTTGAAGTTATCGGATAACCGACGTTCACTTTTGTGGATAGCAGGAGTTGGAGTGACCAATGAGGGAAACACAAACAATATCATGCCCACGCAGAGTCACATGCAATTTTGTTTATAGCCTAATTACATGCGGAAGGAAACACTAGATCAGACGGTTGGAAGCTAAACGTGGTATGATTGGACCCGTGACCACCGAATATGTGAAGGGGAAAGAATTGTGTGGTCGCTTAAATGGCATTTTTGATAGACACTACTGATACAATAAGTCTGCAAATTTTGTTGTGAAGTGACTTTAAGTTTGACCGTCAGACTTTTTTGCAACTTGGTGCAATATAAACAACGAAATATGACATTTATTTCCCATCTACAAGTCCTTTCAATAACATCAATGCAACTACTAGTAGTTCGGGTGCTCAAGGATGTTGCACGTCTAAGCTTCATTCAGAAGGCAGGATAAAGCCAATGAAATGGCGCAATCCTGAGCTTTATTTGACAGTGTAAAGCATTTGCTTCATGGAAAGTAATGCAAACTTGCCCAACAAGGTACGCAAATTGCACAGAGTTTTCACAGAACGCCCCGATGTCTTTATCGCCACCAAGGACTCAGCTCATCGTTGAACCATTCTTAGAATTTCAACCGCCGACCATCAGGCGCTGACGTAAGTCACAATCTGTCCCACTTATTTTCTCACCAACGGCTTCCTTAATAAATTCGTGAAAATTCGGTCTAAGCGGGGGAGAGTAACTAAAAAAATTAGGGGGAAAATTATCAGTCGAGAGACACATCATCTTTCCCTAACGTGGAAAATAGTAAATTTTCTATTACTGTTGCCTCTTCTGAAGGGAAACCGCTTTGTAGAACGGTGGCAGTGGAATACGGGGATGTCCCTATAATGAATTTTGAAATAATGCAAACAGGACCGGAGAACGAAACATGCGCGTAATCCAGAAGATTTGCGGCAAGAGCAAAAACTCCTGGTAGGTAGAAGCAAGAGGAAACAGAAGGCAAAAGGGAAAGCAAAATGGGGAGAACATAAAAGAACAATTTAATTTGTCGTGCACTGACCGCCTATTTGGAATCCCCCATTCCTCTATCAGATTGTCAACAAAACGCCCCGGAATATAAAGTGGCCGAGTGGGCTTTCTATGGCTCAAGGTGATCCCCGTTCAAGATAGTGGGCTGTTTCTCAGAAGCTGGCGGATTAAAGGTAGGGTACGCGTACTCCCTGTGGTCTTTGTTTTTTGTTTTCTCTGAGAACGGTTACCTGTGACCAATCGGTCTCTGATTAAGGGTGGAAAAATTTTATTTTACTCCTCATGGCCGATCAGGATCACCTAGCCTCGATGACAGCTACTCCATGGGTAATAGCGTTTCTAAAGTCCTCTAAGATACTCTGCAGAATTAACCACCGGGCAAAACGCAAATTTCTGCGCTAATGAAGCATGAAACAACGTGCGCTGCGAAGAGCCATCCGAGTAGGTTATTTTTTCTGCCAGTGCCGAGCACTGAACACTGCGGAGCATGAGAATGCCATTTAAGGGACGCTTCTTTTTCTCACTTATTTTGTTATGTGAGCAAAGTGACCATTAGCCTGCGCCTGTGGTTTACAGGAAGACGCAGGCCCAAGAAGCTATTTCAGTGGTTTTTAATACTGAATGTGAGTAAACAGCTTGCTTATATTGACAAAAATACCGCCAGGCAACAATGGCACACACGGCGTTGTTTGATTCGATCTGCAGTGGTAAGTTACTGTTTCCCCCTAAGTCTCCATGAGAAGTCCAGAAATAATCCTCAGGTCCCCTTCTTAACCTAAAGCAAATAGTGCAACATTTCCTGCACATCAATTTGTGTATCACTTTTTGCCTAATTGTGATTATTTACCTGGAGTCAGCAGCCTTCCTTTTTGGGTGAACCTCTATCCTTCCGATTTAGTCCCCGATTCTGTAGTCTATCTTTAAGCACACGAATAAAATTGATAACCCAATGCGTTCACAACCTCCAACCACATCTACTTGGAGAGAACTGCCTTATCCGATGCAGACACCTTTGTTTGGCGAAAGATCTTTGTTTCACCTGCTTTCTTCCCCTATAATGGGAACCAGGTCAATAGTCTCTGCATCGTAGTAGCGTGAATTAATCAACAACAGCTGTCTTTGTCCCTTTTTGGAGAAAAATGTAAAAGTTGTGAAGAGTTGACGTCCACTGAGCACCCGCTGGCTCCGGATATTTGATATACTACAGCTAGACATGGCGGCGAGCAAAAACATAAGGCGAGCGGTCCAAACTCGATGTGCACTGAGCGTTTCAGTTAACATCGAAAGATGCGGGGGTCACCCGCATCGACCAAAATCGCCACAGAAGCAAAATGTGGAACAATCACGCTATTAGTTAAATTAAAGCATACTTGCTCGTAAGTTGATCTTAGCCAGCACGATGCCTCATGTATCTGCACGGAAGTTGTTCCATTTTAGTCTCATTCTTGGCAGATTTTGCGCCGGAAATGCCCGGATGACCAATGTAGAATAAAACGTTTGCTTGTGCAAATCTCCGGGTGATAATTTCACTCAGCTATATCATCATGAAGCGCACGTATGGATGCCTGATTATTTAGGAGCCACACTGAGTGCGTAGAAGTTCATCGGACTGAACCGACCTGTTTAATGAAGTGTGGTCAGCTGACATTTTGAACAGATTTTTAGGGGATTGAAACTGTCGGCTATCAACACCGCTAGAGAGTCTAACCGAAAACTTTGATCGCCTTCTCTTCTGAGTGCACTGACTGTACATTTGCTTTCCTTTGAAGCCACCAGCGAGAGACTCACCGCTTAAGGAGTTATCTCGCCTGATATTTAGGTCCTCGAAACGTCAATAACGAGGTGTAGTTGACTATACATTTTTTCAGATGCTTTGTGGAGTAAAATCTGAGAATTGGATTGATCAGACATTATGTTTGTACCTATGAGCCCAATAATAAGAAGCAGGCTGGTAATGGTGATAGTATATTTTCAGGCATGGAGCGTTGGCAGGTGGACGACGTACGGATATGATGGACCGCCGTTGATCGTTGGATTAGCCCATCATGTGTCGTTGGAATCTTATAGTCTGCTTCGAGCCAGTGCACGGACCCGGTTGTTACTATGAATGGCCCGACAGGTGACATCGAGTATAGTTATGAGTATAACGAGCCGTCGTTGGCTCTTTGGTTAGGTTATCACGCGCAGTTGTTGCGCTCCTTTTTATTGGCTCGGATGGGTACTGGTCTGGTGTTCACTGTGGGTAGCAGACATAAACAAGTGGACGCAAAGTTATGGGTATGACGGGCCATCTTTGGAGTTAGACTAGGATAGGGCGCATAGCTGAGGCCTAATAATTGGCGTCGCGTGTAGGCACCGGCCGAGCAGTTTCAAGAAGTAGTCAAGGTAGGCGATATCGCGTATATTTACGGGTATGGGGTGTCGTTCCCCATTGGATTAGGTACGTGTGCATATTTCAGGCCTCATATTAATCGGTTCGCACAAATACAGACACGGTGTTTATCATAAGTAGCAAAGATAAGCGACAACGCGTATAGTTGCGAGTACGGCGGATTGGACTGGATAAGCTCACCAGTTATTCAGCGCGGCACATGGACATAGACTTAGCAGGTACGTTAAGTGGCCAGATAAGGCGGCATCGAGTACAGTAACGAGTATGACGAGCTGTCAGACTAGAGTATCACGCATGGTTTAGACCGCATTTTACCGATCTGCATGGATACTGGCCTGGTGTTTACTATAGCTGGCAAAGATAAGCTGTATCACGTATAGATATGGGTATGAAAGACCGTCGTTGGCCATTGCATTATGTTACCGTGCATAGGTAAGTTCTCATAATCAGCACCGCGCATAGACACGGGCCTTGCAATTACAATAGGTATTCGAGATGAGTGACAATTTGCAGAGTTGAGTATAAGGGGCCGTCGTTGGCCATTGGATTAGGCTGCCGTGCATGGGTGAGGCCCGAGAATCAGTGTCGCACACAGACACGGATCCAGTAGCTACAATAAATATTCAAGGTGAGTGAAAACGGCTACCGTTATCATGGCGACCGCTTTATGGCGGTCACCACCTATAGAGCGTCATATTCATAACAGGAACGGGAAAGGGGATCGCCCACAGAGTTGTCCCTCACATCGCCACTGTACGGCTCATGCTGTTGTCTAACAATGTTGTACTTAATGGGAGTTGAGATCCACGGGAAAATGTGTTGTCAACAGGCTTGCCGAACACATTAATCTCGCTTACTATTGTAGTGGTCTGGCTACCCAATAAGTTAGTCTACCAGGGGTGTGTGGTAAAGAAATAAAAATAACTGGTGGTCGTTGGCTTGTTCGCTAGGTTGGGTATACAAAAATAAAGAGGTCAGATGGAACAGACTCACTAACAATTGTTCTCCGTAAAATAGTTCGTCGTTGGCCCAGGCCAACGAATAAACAATAATCCAATCATGTTGGTCCAGAGGTCTTCTTCTGAACAGTTCCCACATATAATAGATCCCGAAGATGTCTGAAATGTTTTGGTACCAGAGTTAGTACATGAGACTCGCGAATGACCGCCGCAAGCGCGAGCGAAATCAGAAGAGACAGTCGAAGCACGTGACCACGCTTGTATTTTAATGAAAATGTACAAGTGCGCGTTTTTGTAGCTTNGTTTATCGTATTCAAACAAAAAACGATTATGCAATTGATGAAATACGTGGTGTTATAATGGAAGTAAAATAAATGTACAAAACGCCACACTGCTCCCTCACTAGAGCGTTGTCAATGAAAGGGGAAAACGCTCGAATCACAAGTTGGTCACTCCAAGTTTCGTAATCAGCCCAGTGCTGAGGGAAACGGACGCGTCGTCCTGAACGACTAGTGGAAGTAGTGAGGCTGGCGGGAGGGATTTCTTGGGTAGGTGTTGTTGGAATAGTAGGATTGCTGAATGTAGTCGTGGGTGCTTCAATGCAGGCAGGTTTCAGACGATCAATGAAGACGGTATCATGCTTTCCGCTTCTCTCCAAAACAAAGTATTTGGAGTGACGTCCGATAAGCTTGAAGGTGCCATCATAACAGGGTTTGAG